AGGAGTTCACTCTAAGCATCGTGGTATGGTCATGGCTCACTGAAGCTTTGAACTCCTGGGCCCAAGCAATCCTCCCACCTCAGCCTCCCAAGTAGTTGTGATTAGAGGCATGTGCTACCACACCCAGCTAATTTCTTTTTAAAGTTTTTACTAGGCTGGGTGCGGTGGCTCACGTCTGTAATCCCAGCACTTTCTGAGGCTGAGGCGGGTGGATCACGAGGTCAAGAGATCAAGACCATCCTGGCCAACATAGTGAAACCTCGTCTCTACTAAAAATACAAAAAATTAGCTGGGCATGGTGGTGTGCACCTGTCATCCCAGCTATTCGAGAGACTGAGGCAGGGGGATCGCTTGAACGCAGGAGGCAGAGACTGCAGTGAGTGGAGATCGGGCCACTGCACTCCAGCCTGGCGACACAGCGAGACTCCATCTCAAAACACAAAACAAAACAGACAAAAAAAATTTTACTAGGCATGAGGTCTTGTTATATTGCCTAGGCTTCTGTATTTCTAACAAGCCCATTGATGATGCTGATGCTGCTGGTCCATGGATCACATTTTCATTTTTTTGAGACAGGGTCTTGCTTTGTTGTATAGGCTGCAGTGCAGTGGCACAATCATAGTGCACTGCAGCCTGGACCTCCTGGGCTCAAGCAATCCTTCTGCCTCAGCCTCCTGAGTGGCTGGGAACACAAGCCCATGCCACTACACCTGGTTAATTTAAAACAGTTTTTTTTTAAAGTTTTTATAGAGACAAGGTCTCCCTCTGTTGCCCAGGCTGGTCTTGAGCTCCTGACCTCAAGTGATTCTACTGCCTCAGCCTCTCAAAGTGCTGCAATTACAGGCGTGAGTCTCATGGACCACACTTTAAGTAGCAAGGGTTTATGATCCCTTGATTAAAGGAAGATTTGCAAATACCAACTTTTTAAAAATACTTTATATTATTTGAAGAGAATATAACTTTGTACATTTATTTATTTATGTATAAATTTATGGAGTACAAGTGTAATTTTGTTACATGCATAGATTGTGTGGTAGTGAAGCCAGGGTTTTTCGGGTACCCATGACACAAATAATGTACGTTGCACCCATTAAGTAATCTCTCTTTATCCACCTCCCTCCCACCCCCTCACCCTTCTGAGTCTCTGTTGTCTACCATTCCACACTGTACGTCCATGTGCACACATTATTTAGGTCCCGCTTATAACTGAGAACATGTGTAACATGAACATTTTCGTTTCTTTCT